GTATTATAGTGAGCAAAGATGAATTTTCCAAACCTTGCTTTCCATCGAAAGCGGTCTCCTAGGTTTTTTTTGCACGGTAGGGCCATTTACGGCGATAAGCATAAAATTGATTAAACCGTTTGATCGGTGCCTTAGAAGTTTTTATCGTTTAATTTCATATATTAAGACCCATCGTGCATGTATGATTTTTAGATGCAGGTCAATCGAATTCATATGAACACTTCTTATGCAAACAAGAGTTTTGACTCCATCATCTATCCACCGTAATCTTACAGTAAAATGCACTGCGAATCAGATAAGAAATTCAGATTAGTCTGGAAGATCTCAACAGATACGATTTTACCAAGACGCAAGTTGCGAGAATTTTACAAAAAGGGTGTTGGAAGTATTTACTTTTGTGCTTTCGAATTTCAGTTCCCACAGTTTCAAATCAACTGGGTCATTTGCCCGACGGGATCGCGTAATATTTTGCAGAACGAGCATGCTTTTTCAGGATATAAAGCATTGCCGGAACTCCCACTCTGAATTTTCAATCTAAAGAAACGCTTGAGCTATCTATAAAACTATTATTATCTGTTATTATCCTTTATGTTGACCGCTATCGATCTGTGTTGGAAAAGAGCTAGTATCAGCTTCAATAAAGTGTTTGGTAGTGAACCAGGACTTGCGTTGCCGATACTTTCCTGCATGTGTTAGAGTACAATTTTTAACCTCCTCCCTTTAAACAACCTTTCCACTTGAGATTTATCTGAGAAAATACGAAGAAAACCTTACCATGACAACTTCCATATCTCTGTTACAGAGATCGTCTCTACATGAACAAGTTATAACATTATCCTGGACAAAACACTGCTTGTCATACTAAACTAATAAGTTTTCATGCCAAACAAGGAATTATTTACTTTTTTTGGATAATTCTACCTGATGATCCACACCAAATGCATGATAGGTTTGAGGGGAGTCGGAGTCGCAAGGATCACGAATTTGGAACGAGCACATCTGTTTCATTGGCTGAAAGTTTGAAGGTGATTCAACAACTTTGGAAACTTTGGGAGCAGTCTATTTCGTTTAATAATGTCGCCATTATGAAAGCTATCGAATAGCTGAAACCGTGTAGCATATACATTAATAAATGGTAGGTCAGTGTCCCATTAAAAGGTACACTTGCTGTACTGTAAACAATCAGAATACCAGTTTTTTCGAGAAATAACATAGTGAGGTGTTAACTAGCGATATGTTGTGCAAGATTACGAAACTTGTTTTACCGTACCTTCGTCGGTGGAATACTTGACTTG